AGAGGATAGGAGGACCTCTCACCCTACTTCTACTAGCTGTAGTGTACTCTTATACCAGGCATTGTAAAATTTGTAATTTGGTTACATCTGGGATCATTTTCATTAGTATTTTGTACCATAATTTAGCCTTCTTAATGCCCTGTAGTGCTTCGTATCTCATTTATATAATTTATGTTTCTGATATTGGAGTTTCTGACAGTGAATGGTTTTAATGGACTAATGTTAGTCTTCCTTGTGTAGTGGACTGAGAAATAATGACTTTTTCTGTCCACCTTGTGTGTTTCTTTATAATATCATTAAAAGGTATTCAGTCCATATTTCCTAGCACTAATTTCATTATAAAACAATTACCAGGACCATAGCCTTGGGGGACATCTAGTTCAGTGTGCAAATCATAGTTCAAAGATACATGCATTGCTCTGTCATGCTTCACAGATACTGTGTTTTGTACAAATTGAAAGTTTGTGGGAACTCTGCAGGGCGAAAGTCTATTAGCACCATTTTTCCAATAGCACGTGTTCACTTTGTGCTTCTCTGTCACATTTTGGTAATTCTCACAATATTTCAAACTTTTTCATAATGCTATTGCACACTTACTGGACTACAGTATAGTGTAAACTTTAACTTTCATGTGCACTGGGAACCAAAAAAATCTGTGTGACTCATTCTGTTGCAATACTAGCTTTATTGTTGTAGTCTGGAACCAAACCTGCAGTATCTCTTAGGTATGACTGTAATGTTATATGCATCCTAGTTTGGTAAGTAACATCTGAGGTCTTAAAAGCCTGTGAGCAGTCATCTTAAGAAGCAACTGTTGGTCTCTTTCCTCCTGGATCATAGGAGAATGAAAAAAAACAAAGACAAGGAATCAACTAGTTCAAAGGACTACTGGCCCACATAAACCCACAGCCTTCCCTAACCTGAGACCAGCAGAACAAGATGGCAGCTACCACTGTCAGCCACTCTGACCAAGACCACAAAAGGAGGCCCTGGTTACCAGGAGGTATTCCCCACCCCCCCCGCCCTTGAAAAAGTAGAACAAAATTCAAAGCAAAAGAAAAATATAAAAACCCCAAACACCAGGCTTACTGGTTACAACCCCTAAGACTACTACCCTGAGAAAACCTTCTAGCTTGAAGCTGAAGACACTCCTGAAGGCCACCTTCAGCCAAATAATAGACAGGACTATAAAACAAACGACATAAAGAATGTGCTCCTCAGAACAATCAGCTGTGTGAGACCAAAATGATAATATTTGCCCCAAACCAAAGATGAGGATACAGGGAGTGACAGGGAATCCAGGTGAATGGAAACAGGGGACCCAGGGAAGGCATAGAGTGCTGACACATCGATGGGATTACAACCAACGTTAAGGAATAATTTGTGTATGAAGTATTGATTGGGAAAATTAATTTGCTATGTAAAATTTTACCTAAAGCACAATTAAAAAAACCCAAAACCAACTCACTGCCATTGAGTTGTTTCTGACTCATAGTGACCCCTCCTTGGGTTTCTGAGGCATTATTTCTACAGAAGTAGATTGCTCAGTCTTCCTTATGAAGAGCGGCTAGAGGTTTGAACCACCAGCCTTCGGTTAGCAGTGAAATGCCTTAGGCACTATGCCACCAGAACTCCCTTAAAGTGCAATAATTTTTTTTTTTTTTTAAAGTAACTAGGACTTAAATTATATTTCAGATTTACATGTTTCAAGACTTCCCATGGAGTTGGGTATCTGGTAGCTCCATCTTTGTCTTTCTTAGGGCCTGGAATGTGCTTTTGCTCTTGTATGCTTACTGGAAACTTCAGTTGGAATGAGGACATCATGTCAGACTGTGGATGATTAGGCTGTGACAGAGGCATGCCACTTTCAGGGACCAATTAACTTCACTCTTGATCTTCAGGTTCAGAGTTGTGGGGGTGGGAGAAGATCTTTCTTCATCTGCTATTTGACCTACAAAAGTGTCAGTTTCCTGTGGGCCAACCTAATAGTTCTAGGCTGTGAAGACATTTTTCTCACCTAGATTTTGACCAGTAAGCCATAAAGCCCCAGCATCTCAGGGTACTACCAGATGCTACTAGATGCCTACACATGGTAGCTAATCACTCCCATTGTCCCAGAAAGACATTCCATTCTGTTTTAGTACATGTAGAGTTGCACATTCCCTAGTCTAGTCTGACTTGCAGTTCAATGCTTTTGTACTTAGGGATCTTTAGGGATACCCTCCTATGTTACAAGGAGTTCTTCAGGTTGTTTGAATTAAATAGGGTCCTTTGTGATGTTGCATCCTATTTTCCCCTACCCTGGTGTGTATTACGGGTTCTAGACCACCTTGACTTAGATGCCTCATTGACCACTTAATATTCATCTTAGTGGATGCTGTCTGCTTTCATGTCCTCCATATTTTCCACCTGATGATCACCATTAACTCCATTAGACATTATTGTCGATCAAAAAAGTCTAGGAATCCAAGGCAAAGAAGGTATGCTACTTCATGTTACCTTTAAGATGTGTCCACAAGTAAAGTACCAAACTGGAAAATACAGGATTGTTTTAACATGTAGTTACGTGGAAAGGGCTAGAGACCAGTAAGATCTTGAGTTTTAGCACTAACCCATATCCATGGTGAGCTTTGTGGTCATGAATACCATCATCAAGATGCTTCCAGAGCATCAGGGTGTTTCCTCTGAACAAGACTATTTTCCTAAGAAGACACTTTTGCCAGAAGATGCTGACAGTGAGGAAATGTGGGCAAAGACCAGAAAAGGCCCATAATATCTTGAAGTTGGCCACACAGCGAACTGGGGAGATAAGCTTGAGCTGTTTCATTGGAAAGCCAGCAGAAGCCCATCATCTAGCAACCTGGCGATTTAAGTAGCAGCACTGAGCAGCAGGCCCTGGAAAATAACAAACGGATCATTTACAGACATCTGTCTTTAGGGTTGAAAGTCCATTATCATGATTTTTCGTTATATTTAAAAATAAATATTGGGATTTGGCCAAGGTCATCAGTCAGTTCATCAGAACACTTCAAATGACTCAGAGAACGTTACACTGCTAGTTCAAGTCATATGTCTTTTCATGGGAGAATTCTATAATTCTATAATTCTTCTGCCTTGATTATTTGCTGTTTTGGTCAACTGATTACTTTTCCTGAGTAAAATACTTAACTTTCTATAAATTTAAATCACGTCCATTCTTCTGGTTTTTCAGATCTCATTAGGACTTTCTGCCTCTGTCTATTTCTCTTCAGTATCTTACATACTTAAATAACTTTAACCGAAATTTATACTTTCATTATAATAATGCTTGATAGTTAACTCTGAGTAGGAATAAGACTGGGCCCAAGAAATAAAAATCTTCCAATTCAGTAATTTATACACTCATTTGTCTGAAAAAAATGCCATAATATCAATGCAATTTAAAATTTCTCTCTTTTACTGTTGTAATTGTGTGAATCATGAAATAAAACATATACATTAATTTTAAATAAGGAAAACCTTTCCTTATTCCTTGGCATAGTATGTTAGGAAAAAAAAATTATTAATTTTTTTCTGTGTATTGCCAGCAGTGGAGTAATAATATGAGAAAAAAGGGTTCTAAATGTTAAATAAACGTAAGTCACCAGAGTACCTCTTTGTTCTCAGATAAAATTTCCCATATCATTTTAGACATCATTTTATTCTGATAAAAGTAAGCATTCAAGAGCTAGTATACATTCTTCTTCTAAATTGTATATTAAATGCATGAATGGTCAGAAATTTAATGTTGATTTTTCCAACTCACTAAGGAAAATCATAGTAAGAGAACATTTTGAAATCTGTTTTTTTTTCCAAGCAGATTTGATGTGTGTTTTATGATTTTTGATTTGCAATCGGGATGAGAATTTCAAATTTAATAGAAAATCACTTGTGAAATTTAGTGCAGCATGCACGCTGGGAGAAATGAATGCTATAGCTTTAAGATAAGGTAGTCTGGTGATTCATTGCATGAAACAAGATCGATTTGGAGCAGGCTCCTACTGTTAGCTTTTTTGAAGATGGATTCTCATGCCGAAAAATAACACAACATATTCTAGGTAACGTCAGTTTTTTGCCCCGAAATCCACCAAAACTGAAGAAAAATCCAAGTGACTGTTCTTAGCAGCTGTGTGGCCTGGAGTTCACTGGGGAAGCTGGCTTCCTGCAGTCCCCTATTCATCACCTGCTTCAAAGACAGCCTGGCTGGCTATAGTTTGCAGGCCAGGTAGGGTGCCATTGTGCACAGTCTGGGAGGATTAGTATCAAAGCTGCGGCAACCAGGCCCTTGGTCTCGGGCTGCCATTCAGTCTAGCAGGGAGAGGCTAAGACTGGCCAAGGTCACAGTCTCCAGTGTGGAGTGGACTGAGAAAGGATCCTGAGAATAGAATGCTTTTTATGAAATCATGGCGCAAGCTTGCAGCCCAGCAGGCGCCCTATGGAACACGTAACATCTGTTTATGTTGGTGTACCATAGCTGACAACGAGATAATAGAGCTTTGAAATTTATCATTTTATTTTTAAAAAGACAACTGTATATACAATAATCCAGATGCATATTTAGCTCAGATCTTTTATTTGAGAATTATAAAGAAAACCGACTGATATAATTGCTGCTTTTTACATGTATACATTTAAGGAAAAAGCAAAGCATACTGACGATTAACCATTTATAACCATGCTGATCAGTAATACCCAGATTCTTGGGGAGGAAATACCTAACATTCACCATAATTTTTTTTCCATTTTCAGACATTTGTGTCAACAGCTTGCAGAAGGATTTACTGCATATGCCCACCTTCTTTGAATATTAGGAGGTTTGGATAAAATCCCCCTAAAATGAGGGTATTTCAAGGGTGAGGTAATAATGACGCAAAAATAAAATTTTCAACTTGGACAAATTAGAGAAAAATTAAGCTGTACATGAGTTGTCATGACGACAAGGATGTTCTGTTGATGAACTGTCCTCCTCATTGTCCAATCAGATAGTAGAGCTGAAGCTGGAGCATGAACAGGAGAAGACGCACCTATTACAGCAGCATAACGCAGAGAGGGATAGCCTAGTCCGAGACCATGGTCGGGAGATTGAAAACCTGGAAAAACAGCTTCGCGCTGCCAACATGGAGCACGAAAATCAAATTCAAGAGTTCAAGAAACGAGATGCACAGGTAATTACCAATAATATTTGATAAAACGGGTATCTTTTTAAAAAGTCATCAGCGTTGAATGTTTTCTTATTATTCTTATTGATGCACGCTGTTTGATCATTTGCAAAACTGACATATAAATGTGATTTTTTTTTGTTTTCTCTTCACCACCCCCCCCCTCCGTTTTGGGGATGAATAAAGCTTTAACTAGAGAAACCACAGGTAGCCAGATTAAAAATCCCATGGCGCGCTATAACTTGGCCTCTTTTTGATAATCTTGTCTCAGTTCCTTTCATGATGGATTTTTTTAAGGTATCTGCCCCTTACCCCTCCCCTCAGCCTTAGCAAATCCCTATGAAATATATCAGGGCTCTCCTTGCTTTTTGTTTGAATCTCTGCAGGTAATAAAGCATTTGTTTTAATATTTGCTTTTGCTTCGTAGTGTTGCTTTTTTCCCTTAGACTCTCTATTTGATTAGATCACTCAGATGGTAATTGATAAAAATGACTTCAGAGAAGGGCTATTTCCCATCAGGTCTGTTGTTTTTTGCTACATGCACATACACATGCCTCCTAGCCTCCATCTCTGTAGTCCCTGTTGGAAGCCATTTGGCAGAATAACCCCCAGCTGTGGTAGCATTTGACTCTTCAAACTTATGGATGAAATGTGCACTGTCAGCATGGAAAATTATCTTTATAAATTTCAGATGAAAAAAAAAAAAAAAAAAACCCTTATTGGGTGTGTATCTTTGTGGTTCACTACATTCTTTAGGGTATATATAATCAAAGGCCTTTAGTGGATCCTCTTGAGATTGCTGTGAAATTTTGTTAGAGAAAAATTTAAGAGCAATTGATAACAATAAAAAGATAATTTTCTCCCTCAATAAAACCATATCCTATACTAAGTCTAAAAGCCTCTTTTCCCATTGAACTCAAACCATATTCTGTATACCACTCTGTATCTTCCCTTAGTTATCCTTCCTTCCAAAAGAGTATAATTTTCAAGCAACGAAATTAGCCTTCTTTCTGTTGTAATATGCATTTAAACAATTTACAATTGTCTGAACGTAAAAATACTCCCAATTAAATAGGATGTTCCTTGAATGAAGGGCTCCTGGAGGTGGTAAGGGAAAGAATAGGAATTATTGGCTATTTTTAATTTGACCTTGAGTTGTTTGTCACTTTCTGAGAATAACCGAAGCAATGTAAATATACTCAGTACAAGTTGTTGGTTTTAATTTGTTGTCAACAGTATACATTTGTGGGGAAATAATTTTCAATTTGTTTTCTGATGGTTTTCTAGCTACAGAGATAGTCAATGCAGTAGCCATGGAACCAAAATTGTCAGGTGGTTCCTGTTAAGTCAACATGTATTATATTTTTGTCATCTACCTTATCGGAGCCTTTATAAAATATATGCTGGTCTTTTTTACTATTGTTATTTTTAACCATACATTTTATTAAGAATCTTTTCAAACGTACGTTTTCCCTCAAACATGATGTTAAACCTTACCATTGTCTTCTATGAGGAATTTGGATTCTGAAACAGTGTAGGGTCTTTTGCATAGGGAAATTCAATAACTGCTACAATAAAATACATTGATTTACATCACATCCTACTACTTGGGTGCTATTTTGGAAAGCTGACATGAGTGGAGGCCAAATTGAGAGGAAATCTTTGTGATTTTGCATATGTCGTATCTGCCATGTAGGGTGCGGTTCATCCAATGATAACAAAAGGGAAATTTTAGGACTGTGACATATAATTAAGTCACAGGGATAGTATAAACAGGTTATAAATTAAATTTCTTCGTACTGAACTATTAAGAGCCATGCTGTTTCTGAGGATTATATTTCTTCTCTTTTGTATCTTTTTTGGAACGTTTTATTGATAGCCTATTGCTGTGACAGGAATACTAGTAAGCTGTGGAAACTTAGGCTACATTTATTCTTGATCAAAAGAAAATAATTTTCTGTATAAATTATGCTTAGCTGTTTTTAGAAAATATTATTTATAAATATCTTATCAATAAGTTATATTTCATCATGTGTACCAAAATGCTAGTAATATTCATTTTTGGTTGTTCATTGAGGTTACTAATTTAATGTTTCCTTCAGGTAAGTTCTCTATTTTTCAAATGTATATCTTCATGATTATGGATTATAATATATGCAGATAATCTAACGTATACTAGCTTTTAAGTCCTGAATTCCATTCACAAATCAAAAAACAAACAAACAAAACCAGTAGGGATATATTTTTAAAAAAAGATCCCGTATGGTGGTTTAATACAGAACAAGCACATGTATCTTCAGTATTGGATTGTGCTGTTCTTTATTGTGGTTCCAGGGAGACATCTGATTTTTCAGTTAGCGTTTGGCTGCTCCCGTTTAGCAACGGAGGCCATTTTGTAGAAAGGACTATTTGAAATACAGAAGAGGACCCATGAAATACCTCTTTTGGACACTGTGGCTTTGTTTGCTGATTCTCTTCCATCAAATTTTCAAATGATGATAATATCCTAAACTATTTTTTGCTTTTTCCACATAAGTATTATATTTAATAATGAAAAGGAAATTACTGTGATACAGTTTCGTTTCCTGCCTTAAGGTAGATCCTGTCAACTAAGAGCTCCCTTTTGGAGATGTAATTATTACTGTTAATTGTTACTCAAATAATTTCTGTTTTTTTAGAGAAATTATAAGACATAGTGATTCTACTAAGGGCAATAATCATTTTTCTCATTTTATTTAGCTAATTGATTAATTCTGTGTGTATATTGTATCTCGTCGTAATGCTTTGATTTTCGGGGGCAGCATATTTTCTGTTGTGATACCTATATTTGAAAAAATGCACATTAAATATGATTGCTCTGGAGGTTCATGTCTTGTGTCTGTCAAAGGCCATGATGTTTAAGGGAAACCATCATCATCATTTCTAGATCAGTAGAAATCAAGATATATGGACATTTATAACCTCAGTGTCAGATATTTCACATTTACCAGGTCCTTCTATTGAAATTTGGTTGGAGTGTGACTTGTTAATCCAGTCATATTTTTTTACTATAAAGGAAATTTATAAATAGCATCTTAGGAAAGCTTTTTCCAGTATGACAGTTCTATATGTTTTGCTTTTGAACCGCAGTCTGATGAGAGAATTCTGTAGTTTATCCTTTTGAGTTAGAGGAAAACCAGAACATTGCCTCCTCGATCCCACAACTGTTCTTTCAGGATCTGGAGCCATTTAGAGATGATTGATCTTTTCTTGCTGTTGCTGAAGTGAATGGTGTGTGAGTGCAACAGAGACTGTTCCCTAGAATGTCTGTGATCCACCTCAGAGGTAGAGTCACCATCTTAGAACAGCTGTCATTGTGACCTGTTGAGGTGAGACGGATCGAGGAGTCAGGGTCACCACAGCAACCACTGGGACCCACGTGCAGTGTAACTGCACACTTGGACAAGGCCATCCGAGAAGGCCATCTGAGAAAAAGTACACTTAGCATTTACAGATGGGTAAACGGCCTCTGAATGCCACTCTGGATTCCCTGAACTGGGAATCATGATTCTAATGGTGTTGTTAGGTGCCGTTGAGTTGGCTCCGACCCATAGCGACCCTGTGTACAACAGAATGAAGCGCTGCCCGGTCCTGCACCTGCCTCACAATCCTTGCTACACCTGAGCCCGTCTGTGTCAGGCCATCTCGTGGAAGACCTTCCCCTTTTCTGTTGACTCTTCCCTCTAGCAAGGGTGACACCCTTCTCCAGAGAATGGTCTCTTCTGACATGATTCTAATATGAACTGTTTTTGCTTAGTAAATGAACAGACCATCTTGATTTTGCCGTATTGATTCGCATTGAGAGGCTGAACCTAATGCTGATTCTAAAATGTAGACTTTGCAGAATTACTCCTTTCTTTCTTCTACAAAAAAAAATAAATTTTCCTAAGTAGGTGTTCATGATAAGACAATTTTAAAAATTAACAAAATTGCAGTGACATGCTTTCCATGAATTTGAGTACTGGGCACAAGATAAAACCTGTTTATAAACTGGGTGTGTGTATACCTGCAGTGATCAAGCATTGGTTATTACTCCTCAAATATTACTCACAGGACAAATTTGATGATATGTGTAGTCTGAATAGAGTCTCTGGTTGGGCAGACCGTGAAGGAGCTCAGCTGCTAATTGAAAGCTTGGAGGTCCAAGTCCACCCAGTGGTTCTCAGAAGAAAGGCTTGTTTATACTTCAGTAAAATTAGCCGTTAAAAGCCCTGTGGAGCACAGTTCTACTCTGTCACACACAGGAGTGTGCCATGGGTCAGAGTTGACTCAATGGCATTTTTAAAATTGCCTGAATATTTATTGTTATAGCCTGTATTTATGACCTGTGGGCTTGCTTACCATTTTTCTATTGATATCACTTGATTTTAATTTATTTATATCGAAATAGCTTTCAGAAAGAATTTGAGGCAGCATTTTGTACGAAACACTTATACAGATAAAATATAATTGGAAAAAAAAGCAATAAATGATATTAACTACATCAAAAATTGATACTAAAAAATGCTTTCATTAAGTACAAGTTGTGGCTATGAACATTTCTGAAAACCACAGCAAAGACGGAGATGTGGTGATTATATAATTATCTAATGATAGATGTCATACTGGTTCCTTTTTTTTTTTTTTCTATAGCCCTTAATTCTGAGATAAATTTGTGACACAGAACTTAATTATATAAGAACATTGACCAACATGTCTAATGATGTTCTTTGTATGTTAAAACATTTGGAAATAAAATCTGGTGTGATAGATTCACATACCTTCCTTCAAAGTGATCAGCAGATTTTATTTTAATGTGTTAAATTTCATTTTAATTTATTGAGAATGCTCTTATTCTCATATCATCAAACAAAGCTGCTTTGGGAAACTCAATTTTATAGAACTATGCATTAAAATAAAGGATATTTTAAGTCATAGACCTAACAAATTCTAGTCCTCTCACCATATCACTGTTCCAGGAGTGGTTA